TGCAGGTTTTTAAATCATTTTATGACAACACCCCCCTCCCCCCAGAGAGATTTTCCATTTTCCTTCACTTATTGTCCCTGTGTCACCAATACAAGAAATAAGGGGTGCAATCATCACCAGTGCAGGAAGGAACAGGCAGCAATAAAACCCACTGTCAATAGTTCTAACTAGAGGTGCACCGAAATGAAATTCTTCAGACTGAAACGAAACCGAAAAGAAAAAAAAAAAATTCTAACCTTTTTTTAAATATTTTATTTTTATTCCTAAATTTTTTTAATACTTTCATTTATATATATTTTTATTAAATATTTTATATATATTTTTATTAAATATTTTTCTTTTTTAACTTTACTGCTGGAGGCTTTGGGGAAATATTAGGGGTCTAAACAGACTCCTAAACAGACTCCTGATATTTCCCTTTTAAAATAGAAAAAGAGATTGAGGACACAGCGTCCTAAATCTCTTTTTCTGTAGCCTCAGCACTGAATGAACAGGAATCCTCTATACTGAGTGTTCCTGTTCATTCACACATTTTGGATATAGTGTGAGTTACTATGACACAATCATGAATGAATAGGAAGTGATATAGATCACTTTTTTGGGGCGGGGGGGGGGAGCGTGGCGGTGCATTGTATTCAGCGTTCTGTTCCACTGCAAAAAATAGGGCTTGCCTATGGAACGGAGCGCTGGCAAAGTTTTGCCAGGCGTCCGATCGCACTGCGGGGGGGCGTATAAGCGGTGCCATTGAATTCAATGCACCGCCACACCCCCACCCCAAAACGCAAGGGGAAGTTTCTCAGCTATGGCGCTGCGATCAGCTAGCGCACTGGAACGCACACGCTTTCGGTGTGAGCAAGCCCTAACTGTTTGTATACCACTCTCCATCCTGACTCGCTGTCGCAGGAGGGTGAGCCGGTGGTGAGAGAAGGAGACCTCTGTCTCATTTGACAGCTGACTCCTCCCCCTTGCCGCCGGCTCAGCCTCCTGTGAGAGCTGTCTCCACCCCCACACCACACTCCATCCTGATCTGTCACAGGAGGCTGTGCAGTGCAGTAGGAGAGCTCAGCCTCCTGTGACACAGACCATGCTCAGCGCTCTCCTCCCCACCCTGCTAGGCTGCCTGACAGTTTCTCTCTTCCCCATGTCGGAAGGGACATGGAGCAGGGCGCAGTAAACCTGTGCTTTTCAGACACCTTGTCCCCACCAACCAGGATCAGCTATAAGTACTAAAGGAAAAGAAAATATGCAGGTTGACATTGCTGATCTCCTTTAGAATATTCATGTCGCTCGTTTGTCATTCGAATTCTCTGACCTCTATACTTTCAGTCACATGAATATTTCCAGCCTTGGCTGAGAGCCATAAAAGGCTCATGAACCACTGGTTGAGACAAGAGATTTAAATACGTTTAAAAAAAAAATTTCCTGGGAACATTCCATGAATTATGAATGCTATCTGGTAAATAAAGCGCCTGTACTGAAGTCAAAATTCCAATAAATTTACCTCAATTGGAGTTTTGTATAGCGCCCTGCAGAACCATAAACAGCCCTTAACACTCAATTTGGTTGCCAGGAGCAAAGAGAAATACAAATACAGGGTACAGAGAGCATGCAACTCACTCCCCTTCTTCATGCACTAGTTTGCGATTGCACTGCACCGGAACACAGGGCATTGCTGCACCGTGTGCTCTGGTGCCGGAGATCGCACTGACAGTGGGAGGCATGTCTGAGGTGCCATTGACATGACTGTCTGGATGCGATTGAAAGTCTATGTTATATCTGTACCTTACATTTGACTGTAGATGGTCACCCCCCAACTAGATATACTGTACCTATAAACGTATTCACCTTTGATGTTTTTATTTTTTGTTGCAATGGTTTCTCTTGCTCTTTCATAATAGATAAAGAATTTAGAAAAAAAAAATGTATGCTGCCATGCAGGGGCGTAACTAGAAATCACAGGGCCCGATAGCAAAATTTTGTATGGGGCCCCGTGATTGCTAGTTATGCCACTTGCAGAGCCCACCTGATATGCCAAACAGCCCACCTGAGAGTGACCTTGCAGAGCCCACCATAGACTCTCTATAGTGGGCTCTGCAGTGGCCTCTTACCTGTCAGCGCTGTCCACCGCCGTGGTCGCCGGGCCCCGCCTCCTCTTCCGTCCCCAGGCCCCGACGGGCATTGCCTGCTCTTAGGTCGCTGGCCAGTGATGCAAGAGGAGGTGGAGTTGCTCTTAGGCGGGCCCTGCCTCCTCCTTCACTGCGAACACCGGCCTCTTCTGCCGCAGCTGCTGGCTGTCACAGCTCCGCAGAGGCTGCGAGGAGAAACGCGCCGCAGCATCCGGTGCCCTGGCAGGGCCCACCTGTGCCCGGGCCCCGTATCGGCCACCCGGGTCGCTATGGCGATTCTTACGCCACTGCTGCCATGTATGCTGCACCAAGAAAGGAAAATTATGGAGAGGTAAGTATTCAGTTTTCCATTATGTCACACTGCAGGGTGATCTGGGTTTATCTTGCTCCCAAGCTAGTGTCCCACACTGCACTAAAAATGTATGGCTTACAAAAGCAAAAAAAAAAAACACCACATGGAGGAAGAACCACTTGATGACTGGTTGCTGTGTTGTAGACGCAGTGCCCAGAGCATCCTTCCCAAATACAAAAAAAACATATTTACAAATAAAAAAAAGCCCATTGGGTTTATTCTGCAAAAAAGTTTCCTCTCCTCACCCACCCCAAGAATTTTCTGCACCCTGGTATCATCACCTTAAGTACTGACAGTAACATTTTCAACTTTAAAATCAACTGACATTTTAAAGTTATTTGAAGGAAACACAGTTAAGAAAAATGCAGACAGACAAGAGCTACATGTTGGTCTCATTCCTGAAGCCAACATATCCACTTTAAGTAGCCTAAGGGGAAAAAAAAAAGTCAGGACAAACAGGCGAATAAAAGTCACATGATCTAAAAGGCACTTGCAAGACAAAAAGTACTATACCATATTATATCTCAGGACACCTTAGTGAAAATGTAAAGCAGAATTCCCTCCAGAGGATTGATTGGCTGCTATAGGCAAGTACAAAGTAAAAAGGCTTTTTATGGGCACTTTAATAAATGACACCTTTTACATTTGTACTAGTATTTGGAAGACAAATACTTTTATATCCTGGAGAGGGGCTTGTTCTCAGAAGACCAAACATTAAAGCAGAACTCCAGGGAAAACTATTATTAACCCTTGGAGTGGGGCCACCCCAGCACTGCAAACAAAACACGAGGCAGTGCTGCTTTCACATTCTGTAGAAGACGTGTATCTAAAACCTCCGTTTTTAACCTTAGCTGTTAGACAAGTTTTTTTGCATGCTGGCTGGTTGTGCTGGGAAACGTTTTGCTGTTCCAGCACTACACAGGTTACCCACTCATTTTGGTCTAGAGAGGTAAATAACAAAGCTATACTCAGCTGATCTTAGGATCTGGCCAGCAATGCCCCTTCTATGCTCCAGTGATGGTATGTCCCTTGGCATCCTCACTTTTATACACTGTGTATAGAACGTGCTGATTTATGGGACCTTAGACCGCTGCAGCAAAGGAGCAGAGAAGCTCCAGGAACCGGTTTAAAGGCTTGTTCACACCATATACAGTGCATTCCAGAGTGGTTAGCTGCTGGAACGCACTGTATCACATCCCAGCCGGCTTCCTGCAAACAGGCACTTAATCCTTGAGGTGCAAGTGTTCACCCTAACACACATATTTCTGCCTGAAGAACAGCAAGGGTAAAGCAAAGTTAGATATTTCTGATGCCACTTATATTGTAGTGAACAATCCTCGGATAAGGTTTTGGGTTTCCTAGCCGCCATGCCATCTTTTCCTTCTAAGCTGGTCAAACTTGATGAGTCTGCCTACAACCGAATATGAGGCTGATACCCAAGAAAGTCAGCCAGAGCAAGTGACAATCATGCAATGAATATGACAAGCTTCAGCTATATAGATAACATGCTGATCAAATACTGACCAATTCACAAATATGTTTCTAGACAGATAAAAGAATGTTTCAGAGACTAGACCTATCACGGTTGACGAGTTTATCAGTTTTTAAGGGCCCATTCTCACCCAATGCATTTGGATGCATTTTCTAGCACATTAAAATGCATATACACAAAAAATAGTGTTTTCAATAGTGTAGCTCACACCAGTGCATTGCATTTGGAAAAAATAGAGCAGGCTGCTTTTTTTTTTTTCACACTGCAACGCATGTAAATGCACACTTCCAGCACAGTGACCAAGCTGCGATTGCCAGCTTCCAAACTGATCACGTGACTGCTGTGATAGCTCATCACATGATCTCATTGGAAACAGCTAAATATTAATGCCTTTTTTTTTTTAAATAAAGATTCCTCCTCTTGTTTCAGGTTTGTGAGCTTCAATGGCCTGTCAGCACTCATCAATGCAATGCATGTAATGTGCTCTTATGATCACCAGTGCTTACACTGCCTAGTGATAGTAAAGGTGACCTTTGGTTTACCCTTCCATCGCAAACACTGAAAATACTTAGATTTGGTATTTTTCTTTGCCATGGCATGCCATGTAAGGCATCCAATACAAAGTCATGCCCTTGTGAAAATGATTTTACCTGCCGGGTGATTGTAGAAAGGTCTTAACTTGGAAGGCAGCATGAGCTCTACTTTATCCAGGGCTCGGTGGTAAGACGCCCTCAACCCAGCCGCCGCCGCCATCTCTGCCGCTCTTACTGATCACTGACAACTGCGGGGACTTGGAGGGCAATGTATACAATTACAGGGGCAGGCGGAAGCGGCAACCGTCCTCGCAAGGTCTCCGAAGAGGGCGTCTATGCCGATCGCTGTTCTCATTGGTTCACCGTAGAACACTGAGAAGCGATAAGCCCCGCCTCTTCCTGACAGCTGTTTTATCACTGCGTTCCATCGATGCGTTCCACTCTCTGCAGGAGGGGATCAGGCAGGCGTGTTTACTTGGGAGAGCTGCCTGTCACTTCAGAACTGCAGCAGACAGAATATAGTGCATTTGCCCAGGGCAGGGCAACCAATCAGCTTCTATCTTCAGTTTGTTCAGTTAAGATTTGAAAAATGAAAGATATAAGCTGATCGGTTGCCATGCACATCTGCTCCAGATTTTGATAAATACCCCTCAGTGACTTCACACTATTGTGCGGCATATTGCTGGCAAATTTCATGTTTGGGGAATTTAAAGGAAATATGTACTGAGAGAAAAATATAGGCAGCCATTGCTGACAACCTGAAAAGGTTTCTTCTCTGCAGCTTCAAGGTTTTGGAAAAAAATAAAGCTTCCATTAAAAAAGTAAAATGACATATTTTTGGGTATGTAGCGTCAGTGATATAACTTAGTGTGAAGAAGAGTATTGGCTGCTGCTTACTTTAGAAATCATCTGACGCTGGATACTCCTTACAGTGCTGATCTTCCAGTGCTGTGGGATTAAAAAGAGATGAAAAGGCATTTTATTTTTGGCTTTACTTCTATTCTGGGTCACAGGAATACATTTACTAATTTACTTCTGTGACCCAAAGACAACATATAGCGTGCTAATACCCACGATCAGCTGACAGTGCAGAGCCAAAGCCAAGAAGGATCCTGGCAATATTGTCGGGATCCGCTTTGGTTGCCTAACTGACAGCTAGCTCCACCTCTCTAGGCCAAGAGCCAGCCGTGTCCAACCCTCCCCTGTCTGTTCCTCCCACCAGCCAGATGGGGGAAATTCTTGCAGGGGATAGGGATGACAGTGACCTATCTGCAGGGAGAAGAGACTGTGAGCTAGACAATCAACAGTCACATGATCGCTCAGTTTTTGGTATAGAGTTGATGTGTGACAGCTGTAGTTTCCCACGTCAGCTCAAAAGCTGGCCATACACTTTACAACCATCGCACGTCTAGAGTCGTGCGATAGTTGTAAAGTAATTAAAGGCTTGTACGATCTGCCCATCTTGGACAGGCAGATCGTACTTGCGATCATCGAAAGCCCGCCGCGCTGAGGGGGGGGCTTCCGATGACTCCAATGGCGCACGGGCAGTGCGGGATTTGTCTCCCGAGAACGCCACTAACCCGCCGACAATCGTACAATTCTCGCGGGTTTTCGAGCCTGCTCGGGAGACAAAAGATGTGCGACCGTACAGTAGAAACGGTCGCACGCCTTCCGGACACCTGCCGATTATCGTACCATCGCGGGATTTCCCGCGATTATCGTACGATAATCGGCAGGTGTATGGGCACCTTAAGAGTGTGTTTTACTCTTTGCACTTGTCCTTTAAGATCAGCAGCTGTGACTGTGAACCATCAGGGTATCTTCCTTCTCCCTATCCCATTCACAGAACTCAAATATGGGTTTTGAAAATGAAAGATAGAAGCCAACTGGTTGCCATGGGCAACTGTTCCAGACTCTGCTCCAGTTTTGATAAATTCCCCCTCAGTGTATTCTTTCCCAGAATGCAAAGCATTCTATGAATGGGGAACAGCATCCTGTCATTAATCCACCCATCCTCCATTCACTGAAAACACTTTGCATTCTGAGAAAGAATGCTACAATTTCTGTAAATAGGAGGAAAAAAAAGGAAGGGGAGGGCGAGCAGCGCCAATGCTTCACAGTCACAGCCGCTGATCTTAACCCCCACAGCACCAGAAGATCACCACTGTGGAAAGTATCTAAAATCATTGGAGGAAAGATTTCTATACTAAGCAACCTGCACATGCATGGGTCTTAAACGAGGGAGAACGCTCTTTCTAGTGATGCAGGGAGTACGCCCTAACAGTCAGGGTGTCCCGATTATTCCCGTTAATAGTTTTTCAGCAAGGCTGTGGGTAAGACGTGAAGAGCCCACTGGTATGGCATTTAAATTAAACTTCCAATTTTAAAGCAGCTGTACAGTGTTTTTTTTTTACTGGAGCCCTTTGACTGCGTAATGCATTTTATTACAATGGTAAACTTAGTCTATAAAGCAAATCTAAAGCCAAAGCCACTTTACATTTACATAGATCGTCGGTCTGCTTTTTATTGTTGTCTGTATTCCATTAGGGAGATTAGCTCTCTGTTTTTGCGCTGGTGGCCATTGTCACCAAGAGTGAAAGTGATAGAAAATCCCCTATTTTCAGTTGTTATCAGAACAGGTATACAGGGAGAATTTCCCAATAGTTACAATGGCAACTGTCTAAAAGGAGAAATGTCCTCTTACTGTTTGGCTGGTCCAAAAGCACTGCCCTCCCCCTCTTGTTTGAGGGGTGTCTCCTTTACCTAGCGGCTGGAAAGGAGACACCCATGTGAGCACACTCCTGCCAGAAACCTGAGCCTAGCTGTGCACGTCCATAAAAGTACACAGCATCCAGCAAGCCACATCCCTGCTCCCTCCTCCTCTTCTCATGGCAATTTGACAGACAGCTGCGCTACCCTTCCCTCAGTACCCTCCTCTACAACCCACTTTTCTACCTCAGTACCCTCCTCTACAACCTGCTTCTCTACCCTTAGTACCCTCCTCTACAACCTACTTTCCTACCGTCAGTACCCTCCTCTACAACCTGCTTCTAAACCTCTGTACCCTCCACTACAACCCACTTTTCTACCCTTAGTACCCTCCTCTACAACCTGCTTCTCTAACCTCAGTACCCTCCTCTACAACCCACTTCTCTACCCTTAGTACCCTTCTCTGTAACCCACTTTTCTACCCTTAGTACCTTCCTCTACAACCTGTTTCCCTACCCTCAGTACCCTCCTCTACAATCCACTTCCCTACCCTCAGTACCCTTCTCTATAACCCACTTTTCTACCCTTGATAACCTCCTCTACAACCTGCTTCCCTACTCTCAGTACACTCCTCTACAACCCACTTCCCTACCCTCAGAAACCTTCTCTACAACCCAGAAGTTCAGGGAAGCAGTTCAGATAATTCTGGAGCCAGCAGCAGTGAACATGGATTCTAGGTAAGTGTTTGGGGACATGGTAGCATGGAAAGGTACCGGGCATTTTTAACCTTAATTTAGACAATTAAGGCAAAAAACACGACATTTGGTAGTGCAAATATAGGCTCTAAGTATATGGAAGAGTTACAATTCAGATATCTCTAAAAAAAAAAGTTTTGCATGTAGACCTAGTAGGTATGTTTTGGGGTCTGCATGGGGTTTGTGCATTAAATACCTGAAAATAGTTATTTGCTGAAACTTCCAATAAAAGAAAATGGAAAGCCTACCCTCCATGCTTACACCTCCATAAGGGCCCTCCTTACCATCTTGTCTTGAATTGTATTGTGAATGATGTAATGTCTTCCGTATATTGTAAAGTGCTGCACAAACTGTTGGCGCTATATAAATCCTGTATAATAATAATTATCTGTATAAGTATATATAGTTTGTGATATGAAAATCTTATACTGGTTCTATTTATACGTCGCACACGCAGATCTTTCATGCAATTCTGTCAATATAATTTGCCATAAGGTATGCTTGAACTGAAAGCAAGATATACACAAATGGATTCAATGTTACCATTAGAAGAACATGTGCAACAACATATTTGGTTTAGTTATTTGGGTTTAGATACCCTTTAATGTCCATAGAGTTACTCCACATTTTGTATACGCTATTGCTACTATGCAGGAAAGTGCTTCAGGACTTTTTTACACTGACAAATACAGAGTCCAATGATGTATTCTATTTCATGTAGCAAGTAATCTTTAGAATTCCAAATATACATATTTTTGAGAGACTACTGAAAATGATAAGGCTTGATCAAGATGAAGTAAATCTGGATGGGGATGTCAGTGACTATGTGGCAGACATCTGTGCAGCACAAGCTTTTCATTCTTGGCTTAGTGTTTGCCTATTTGTGGTTTTACACATAAGTTCCGTGGCAGTGCATTGAAGTCAATGGCACCGCAGCCATGCCTCCTTCCGGCACTGTGATCTAAAAAAAAAATGCTGCATGCACTATTCTTTCAGTTCACACTGGACCAGAACGCAGGCATTGATGTGCTACGCATTCTGGTGCAGGTGATCGCACTGTGGGCAGGGGGGCGTAGTGGCAGTGCCATTTAGTGGCAGTGCCATTGACTTCAGTGCACCACCACACGCCACTCCCGCCCTTGAGTGCAGGAAGCCGGCTGGTATGTGATACAGTGCGTTCCAGCAGCTAACCACTTTGGAACGCACTGTATATGGTGTGAACAAGCCCTTAAACCGGTTCCTGGAGCTTCTCTGCTCCTTTGCTGCAGCAGTCTAAGGTCCCATAAATCAGCACGTTCTATACAAAGTGGGTGCCAAGGGACATACTATCACTGGAGCATAGAAGGAGACAGACAGCAGGCGTCGCTATCACGGCTGGATCTGAGGATCAGGCGAGTATAGCTTTGTTATTTTTCTCTCTAGACCAAAATGAGTGGTTAACCTTTGCAGTGCTGGGGTGGCCCCACTGCAAGGGTTAATAGTTTTCCCCGGATTGCTACTTTAATGTTTGGTCTTCTGAGGACAGGCCCTTCTCTGAGATATAAAAGTATTTGTCTTCCAAATACTAGTAAACATGTAAAAGGTGTAATTTATTAAAGTGCCCATTAGAAGCCTTTTTGTGCTTGCCTATAGCAGCCAATCAATCCTCTGGAGGGAATTCTGCTTTACATTTTCACTAAGGTGTCCTGAGATATAATATGGTATAGTACTTTTTGTCTTGCCACCCGTGACAGTGTATGAGCCAAGCAATTGCCCCCTAGGCCTAAACACTGGCTCAGGGAAGGAGATCACATGCTCCATCATACCTGGAAGCGCTGCCATTTGTTTTGCAATTGCTGCACTGGAGGAAGGACTGGCGGGAGAGCGATGTGGAGGCGAGGATAA